ATGAAACTCATCATTTACTCTACACTGAAGCTTGTCATTCCTGTAAATTCATAATCCCTTTCTAAATAGAGTCAACAAGTTGGTAACTAATCATCCATTAGAAAATATGGGAACTGAGGCAAAAACCACCATCTGCACTTTTGCAAATAAATTATTTAATATTTATTTTTCACATTGTCATCAGGAGAAATACTGAAAATGCACTCCTTTGCAAAATAACACTTAAAAAATATATAATGAGTGTTGAATGTGTGCACATGTTTGAAATGTGTTTGTAGCAACCATGCAACCGTGGGTTATGAGCCAGGTGCAACTTCAGCTTTAAGGACAGCAATCACATTCCAGAAATTTTTAATTATTGAGAAATTTACAACATCCAACGCTGTACATGTGTATTTTATTAGTAACAATCATAATGCTTTACCATGCTGCTGACTGAAACACTCGAGGGCTCTAAAGGTTTCGGGAGCATCTGCCACCCAGCCGTACTCCAGCAGCCGCAGCCCCCGCCTGCCCCCCAGGGTGGCACCATGGGGAGCACAGATTCCCAGCCCCATTTTCACGTGGTTTTGTGGTTTCCTGCTAGTTCTCCGCTGCTTGCTTTCAGTTTCACACAGAGGAGAAGCAAATGCCCTGTGGCGTACACACTTCTTCCCAGGGCCATGTTTCTGTGTAATTCACCCTTCCGGTGCTAGGCCTGACAACAACAACATTTTCCACCCGTCAGCAAGGGAAACCCTGGAATGTAAAATTGAATAGAGGGCCTTAAAATGTTGAAGTGCCCCCACAGGGCTCACACCCACTCATACATTGCTCTTTTCTGACCTATTTCTGTATTTGGACTATGTATGTTGTATGCATTGCTACGGACTGTAGGAATAAGCTGGGCACCTGCTGTGTTGTTCCAAGTTCAAACCTGTAAAAACACTATACCTTGTTGGAACGCCTTGTTCCACATTGACTTTAAAATTGGTTAAAGCAGGTTTAAAAAAATTGCAGATAGGCAAGCCTTTGCACTAACTATAGGCACGGATGTTACAAATGTTTATAAAATACACTGATGAAGAAATGAAAGGAATGCCATGTTTGGTTACCTTACACAAGGACTAACTGGCAGTTTAATCCTAAATCAGATTGTGTCTCTGTTCTAACTTTGCCATGAAGAAAAATTGTCTCCTTTTCCAACTATGGAAGTTGTAATAAAATAGATCAGTCTTATTTTCAAACATTCTGTGCTATTTTACAGTTTGTCAGTCTTTTAATTGTATAAGCCATAATACATGAAAAATTAAACTCTTCAGAACTTCCTCTTCACAGAGTTAACAATCAAGTTTCTATTTCTCTAGAGGTACCCTTTTTTAGCACAGCAGCACACAGTATAGAGTCCATTGAGTCAACAATTTCTTTATTATCAGATGACTCAACCAATGCCTTCAAATTTATCCTTTTTTCCTTATCAGAATCAAGCTGCAAATGTTAAGTCCCCCTGAACTGGCCCTGCCACATTCAAGTGAATGTGAAGTGCACCTGGTCGATGAAAGACCCTCTGAAAGAATGAGAAAATAGCTACATTGTGACAATGACATTAGTACTGAAAATAACAACAGGAGACAAGGAGAGAATGGTCAAAACCGCAAGGAGTGCAAAGCCAAGAAAAATACACACTAATGCTGGATAACTGGATTAATCTTTTTTTGTTTTCTATTTTTATTTGAGGGAAATGTTCATCTTTGAAACTTTATTCAAAAAGGAGTGTTAAAGATTCATATTATTTTTGAAATGTGTTACGCATAGTATCATAGAATATGCTGAGTTGGAAGGCACCCAACAGGATTATCGAGTCCAGCTCCTGGCCCTGCACAGGACAACAGAATCCCACCCTGTGCCTGAGAGCGTGTTCCAAACGCTCCTTGAAGTCTGTCATGCTTGTTGCTGTGACCATTTCCATGTGGAGCCTGTTCCAGTGCTCAACCACCCTCTGGGCGGAGAACGATTTCCTGGTATCCAGCCTAAACCTCCGCTGACACAGCTTCAGGCCATTCCCTCGGGTACTGTCACAGGTCACCAGAGCCCAGTAAAAATGAGGTTTATGCGCTCAGTCACAAGACGCTTGGGCTGGAATCCCGGCCGCTCACACGGATGATGCCGATGCCGATGTCGATGCAGATCCAGCGGCAGCGCCGCCCTCCCCGCTCTTCCCTTCCCTCCTCCGGCGGGCGGGGCGGCCGCTGTGGGATCCAAGGCTGCCGAGGGAGCCATGGCCGCCTCCCGAGGGAAGCGGGGCGGCTCCTACGAGCGGCTGAGCCCCACGGGCACGGAGGTGACGGGGCTGGCGAGGGGTCCGGGCGGGGATGGGGTTCTCTGGGCTGGGGGGGAACCCGAGCGGCCACCGCCTCCCACGGCCGCCTCCAGCCCACCGGGAGCTCGGGTGGGATTCGT